TGATTCATTTGGGTTATCTCTCTTTTTCCACAAGAGAAATGACCAGCCGTGAGGAGGTAAGGAAACAAGCCCACCTGAGATTTATACATGTATTAAGGACATACGCAACGTGGTTTTCAACTTAAAAGTCTTATGAAAATAAAGTGACGTGAATAAACAGTGATTTATTACAGTGTAATAATTGAGTAAAACAAAAACCATAGTTTGCGAAAATTTTGTCCCACTTACATTATAAAACACTATATATCTATATGCTGTATTTGCTGACAAGGTCATTACATCGACCACGGAACTCACGAAATGATGAATTTAAACGAGAATTTAGCTTCGTCACCTTATTTGAAGCATTGGCATTGTCAGTATTGAAAAGGGAACATTTGAGGACATAAGATCAATTGTATGCATTTGTCTTAAGACTACAATTAATATGGAGAAATAGAAATACCAGTTTAAAGACGAGGTTGAAATTATTCGTTCAAGGCAAATATAAAACCAGTCCACCTCATTGGTCAGAAATCATGTACTAGTCTTATCAGTGTCTCCGTCAAATTTCCTGTACAAGGCTTCCTGAAAAACATAAAAGTCGGAGTTATCTGCGAAGAGGATTAAGTAAGCAAAAAATGACTTTGTCCCCCCCCCCCCCCGAAATATTTGAAAAAAAGGTTATATTTAGGAAACTGCTTCTTCTGTTTATCAGTTAAGGCATCAGAAAAATTAAGCTAGAAATTCCTTAATCTTTAACAATGGTCAATTTTAGAGAAAATAAGTAGGAACAACGACAACAAACGAAACTAAAGGAATTTTTTTTTTTAAATGTTGAACAAGTCACGGATATAACGCCACATCGCTAACAAAGGCCCTCCTTTCAATAAAATATGGAGAAAACAAAGAGTTTCATACTCAGAGTCCATCGAAACAATACAAATCGGGAGCACAGCGAACATGAACCTCTTCACATAACGGTGATGGGATCAGGTACCATGAAGGAGTAAACTTCCTATGTCGACCATGCAGTCACTTCCGCCGTATGCTCCTTGTCATGATCGGGAAAATCTATAGACGATTCAGTACATGTAAAAAATATGTAAAATGGCCTAACAATGATTAGGAAAAAATAAAAAAGGGGATAACAAAAACTTACAGTAAAATTAAATGTAATCGAGGTATGGCGTAGTCGCAGAAAAGCAGACTTGTTGCGAAAATGAAACCGCGGAAAAGGTATTTGTTGACCCCCTCCCTTTCCCAAATTTTTAACACCTGGGCTTGTTAGACATTTTTTTTACAAATTAAATTGTTAAACTTATTTATTATGTTTATCATAGAAAACTAGAAAGAAAAAAAACCCAAACATTTAACGTATCCACATAAAAAATACCTCATTATATATTGTGACATTCATAACACGTATACATTATGCATGTTGTTCTACTAAAGGTATTTTTGTGTGGAACGATATGTCTGGGTTTTTCCAGATATTTTCCTTTAATAAACTAGCGATTGTTAATTGATAATACTTCTTAGATGTATCTAAATGTCAAGTTGAAAGCCACAACAAGTCATATATATAGGTGCTTGACGTTTTAAACATTTTTATACCTCCCGTATTTATCGAAGATTTTATAAAAAGTTATATGAATAATTAAAATTGGTCTTAAGTCGTAATTCCTTTTGTAAAACGGGCCCCAGGTGTATATAGTTTCTGCCCTGTTTGTCCGTCTGTCTGTTTGACCACAAAAACTGTAATATTGCCAATAACTTTTGATTGGTAGGAGTTATGGCAAAACATATTTCACGTGTGTACCCCTTGTGACAAGACCTGTCTTTAGGTACCACAATATTTGAACGAACTCTTGACCTTGACTTTACCTAATTTGAACACTGGTTAAAGCTTTTGAACAGTTTGTGCTAGGACTTCTATACTTTCCATGTATATTTACTGTGAGAAAACCTTTCTCTAAATTTAAACAGTTTTGACCTTGACTTTTGAGTTTGACTCACTTTAAAAAAGCTTGATCATTTGACATAGCTTTTGAACAGTTAGTACCAGGGCCTTCATACTAGTACTAGTATTTCATAGGTGCCTTTAATATTTTACATGTGTATTTCTAACAAAAAGGCCTTTCCCATAGAACATTTAAGTTGACCCTTTGACCTTGACTTTGAAGCTTCACCTTGGGCATAACTTTTTAATGATTGGAGCTTGTTCCTACCTTGTCTTTGGAGTTTGTTTTGCATTTGAGAAACTTCAGCCTTTGTCGAAAGTTGTCATAGGGGGCATCAGTCTTTCACAGACACGACTTGTTTTCTATACTGTGAAAATGTTATTATTTGGAATTAGATAAAAAGCACATTTTTGTCTACCAGAATTTGATTACCTTTGCCTAAATACACGTAGGTTCCTATTTGACTGCAGAAGTGATACTGAGTTTATGTATACATAATTTAATTTTGTTTGTATTCTATCCTCCAATTGGTTAATATCCGAAAAGGAACGCAAATTGTTTCTGTATAACCAGGTAAATAAAAAAAAAGATACCATTAAAATACGCTTAGAGCTCTGATGAATTGGGACATAATTTTTCAGCAAACAAAAAAATATTTAAACTGTTCTTTTCAATGAAAAATGTGATTGTGAAACACTAATGCCCCCCGTATGACAGCCTTAAACAACAGAAAAATTTCTCGAAAGCAAATCAAACTCCAAGGTTATAAGATGAAGAACGTTGTTACGCAAATCCTAGGTCAGGAGATGAAAAATATTGTTATCCAAAGAAAGAACTTGGCTCAGTGATTATGCCTGTGAAATATGAAAGCCAAAGCTTTAACCATTTAAATGTTTTGGCCAAGGTTAAGGTTTTTAAAATGTTGGACTAACTCCAAGGTCAATGTGAATGTCAAATTAAAGGTATCCAGGGGAAGACCTTTTTTATTGAAAACATAAATAAAAATATAAAAGACCTAATAACAAGAGTACCAGCAGTTTCGTTTAAAGTCATCATTTCATAAGTTCTATCGTCGATAGAATGACCTTGTCCTTGTCAGCACATACAATTTACCATTAAGTCAAATGCTGACTGACTTTTTCATCCTAATTGTTAGGGCATTATATAAACACTTAATTGTCAACGGATTTTCCGTTATTTTCCCGATGAAGACAAGAAGCTCACGGCGAGTGTGACCGGTCAGCAGGGGATGCTCACTTCTCCATGGCACCAGATTCCACCTCTGATGTGTTTGCTGTGCTCCATTTTGTATCGTTAAATGGACTTTTGACCTGGAATACTGTTTGTTATCTCCATAAATTTCCCTTATAATTCCTTGCAGTTCAATCAATCTTGATATTTCCACCTAATTTATGCTGTATCTAAACATGCAATTTTATACAAAAGACACTTGTTCTAGTACAGTGTATCTGGTCCTAATGATCTATTGATTTATGCGGAATATATTTTAAAGGTGTTGGGTTGATAAATAATTTTTAAAAAGACCGGCTTAAATTTCGAATATTGAATGGATTATGATTCGTGCACAAATTTGACTACAAAGAAACATGTCTCCAACATTGTAAAACACAAATACGAATACAACGGTAATGGTATAATTTTCTTAAGAAGCTTGTCATGTTTAGGTTTCAAATTTAAATGCACATGTACTGAATCCTGGCCTTGTAACAGTTTGATTATTGTAATGCATATTAAGAAAGAATTCAAATGACTAATTCAGTTTTTAAGCTAAATTATTTAAGACCAAAGTTCATTGTTTTATGACGAATAATTAGAGCATTGAAATAAAATATAAAGGACATCGAAAGAAAAAAATCTAGAAGATAAGATCTGAAAGGATCAGTCATAATGTCACTTTAGAAATTATGATTTCTTAGTCATAGACAACATGAAACCTTTCTTGAAGCTTTTTTAAAAATCTTAACTATAAAAAAACGTTTACTAAAGTGAAAAAGAAAATTAATTCATGTTATTTATTTTATTATGTCAATATCAGGCAGGTCTTGTACAGAACTGTTCACAAGTTCACATGCAGAATTTTAATTCCTGTTTAAAATGAGGTGAATGCAGTCCATGTTGACACAAGCTTTATTTTTATTTTTTATATCTTATCGATTTATTGACTCGATATCTTTAAACGATTCTTTGTCACTGTGGATATTATGACAATCAGGAATGCATATAGTCTTTATTTGGTTTTCTTGTGTACAAAGAAACGCATTTTCATTGAATAAATCTAGAATAAAACGAAATGCAAAATAGCATGCAGAATTTTAATTCCTGTTTAAAATGAGGTGAATGCAGTCCATAGCTTTATTTTTATTTTTTAAAATTTTCAATTTTCAACATTTGTTGCATATGTTTTAGATTTTCCTTTTTCTTGTATGTTTAAAATATCATTCAAAAAAATTTTAAAATTTAATTTTGTTCAGTACATCTCGTTATTTTTTTAAGAATATGAAAGGTTTTGAGTGTCATTAAATTAAGCTTATTCATATAACCACGTAAAAGTTTCATGTGGTTATAAAGGAGCTTTATAAATTTCTCATAGCTATTTAAAGTAGTAAAGAAGACGAGATCGTTGATAATTTTGCACATTTTTTAATTTATTCAAGTGTCAATATGTAAAATGAAAACCACACAATAAACTGAAATCATAAATGCGCAACATACATGTATAAATTAGAACACAGAACAACACAGAATTGAAAACAACAAGCTTTAAATAAAATAAATTATCATAACAACACTCTTCGTGCAAACACTTTTTCACCGCACTGCGTCAAATTGATAACAACATAAGATTTTTTTATTTCTTTTTCTCCCTGTCTCAAATCACTAACATGCACATGTAATTAATTGTATAACTTTGTTACATGCAAAATACTTTAATAGGTGAAATCAAAGGTCACTTCATTATTTCACATTATTATACTTACATAATAGTAAACAAAAAAAAAAAGATTTACATTGTAATTAAAAAAAAAAGCATTTAAAAATTACGCATGAAAACAGTTGAAGTAAATAGTTGACAAATGTTCCTAAATCGATTTGTAAAACTTTAAATATTTGGCATTTACGTTTTAATTTTTGTTGTTGTTCTCTTTTAACATTATCAATTGAAGAACAAGCAGTCATAGGGAGCGCAAGAACTGTCCAGACTTTGTCAGAGTTGTATATACGTACGGTTTAAAATCCTCATCAGTAGGAACCCTTTGGATTCCCTCCCCTTTTGTTTTGAGTGATGCCTATTTTGCTTGGAAAAGAACACTGGACCAGAGGGTGTATCCTCCCTCTCGTGTTGATGGCAGGTTGTTGTCGGTAAAATGTACGAGGACCATGATAGTAATGACTGTCGTTCTGGATGCTGAAATTCTTGGCTTCAGTGATGACAACATTTTCGTTTGGACTTGCCGTTGCGTTTTCTTTGATGTCATTTCGAATTTGAGTTTCGCTATTCCTTACAGCACTCGAGATTTTCTTCATTTCTTCCATTATCATCCTCTGGTTTTCCTTTGTTTCTTTATCTCGCTTTGCCTCTCTCCGTTCCCATTCTTCATCTCGCAATCTCTCTCGTCTCTTAGCTTCTTCTTCCCGCTTTCTTTCTCTCTCCTCCATTTTTCTTTCTCGTTCTTGCTCACGAATTCTTGCTTCTTGGTCGCTTGCTTCCATTTTCTTCTCTATTGATGTCAATTTTGCGCATAGTTTCTTTTCCTGCTCTTCCTTTTCTGCTTTGAGCTTTTCCAATTCCTCTTTTAAGCTAATGATTTTCAACTCCATTGATTTTATTTCTTCTTGCTGATTTTTGACCATGGAAAGTGTTTCTTTGTAAGTCTCTGACATAAGTTTATGCTCATTCTCAAGGCGTTTGATTTCCACATGAAGACTTTCTTCACGTTTTTTTAACACTTCGTTTTCCCTCTGTATTTCTTTAATGTCATGTTCTCTTTTCTCAAGCAAAAACTCTTTTTTATTGTTGGCGTTGCTTAATTGTCGAATTTTGTCTGTTTTGTTGGCGACCTCAATCTTAAGACATTCATTCTCTGCTTCCAATGATTTGATTTCCTTGTCTTTTTCAGACATTATTTTTTCTTTTTCTTTGTCATGGTTTTTGGAATCTACTTTAATTTTTTCCTCCAGGACTTCAATTCGGACATTTTCCTTGGGGCTGTATTTATTGTCTCCATATTTGTTTCTTCTTGAACTTTCGACATTCTCCAGCTCTGCTGTCAATAGTTTCTAAGGAAAATGTATTTATAATACATGAAAATGTCATAATTCAATTTGTTAAGAAATTGTAAATGCTAACGTATGTACGTCTACATCAATAAAATTGCTCTATCAAAGAATTAACTTTGAAAAAATCTTTAATATTTTCATATTTTTGAGATTAACATTTCATATACCGGTATTTTTATGATATGATTAATTTTTGATAAACATGTACCTCTTTGTGGCTACTTCTTCTGGATTTGGCTGATGTCAGTCTGACTCTTTCTGTCATGACCTTCAACTGTAAAATAATGAGATAAATCTTATAAAGTAAAAATTGGATTAAATAAAAGAAATAATGATTGATTGATTGGTATTGTGTAATGTCGAGTCGGCAATATTTCATTCATATTTCGGCGGTTGAAATTTGTGTAAAAGAAGTATTGAAGTAAATGTCAGACATCTGTCTATACTCCTTGATTGAACACTTGTAATACTTTTGTTTGATTTATCTTGTTTACAAAGGTTTTCTAAAACAAATGAAGATAACGAAGGATGTGATCGATAGAAAAAATATACGAATGAAGGGTATGGAGATAAGGAACAGTATTCAATATCAAATCCAAAAAAAAAAATACAAAAAAAAAGGAGCAGAGCAAACGCGGACCTCTGAAACATCAGAGGTGAGATTAGGTGCCATGGAGGAGTGAGAATCCACCGCTGACCGGTAACACCCGCCGTGTGCTCCTTGTCATGATCGAGAAATGACGGAAAAATCCGTCGTCAATTCAGTGTATAAATAATGGGCTAACAATTAGTATGAAAAACGTCAGTCAGCATTTGACTCAATGATCAATTGTATTTGCTGACAAGGTCATTGTATCGAACAAAGAACGTACAAAATGATGACTTTAAACGAGACTGCTGATATTCTTGTTTCATCAACTTGTTTGTCAATAATTTACCTCGTTTTAGAAATTGTTTATACGTAGGAAATTCTAATCTGTGAACGGTTCATAAAACACGGACTTCTGGAAAATTTTAAGATTAAGAGTGGATAAAATGCACAGAAAGGATGAGCATCCCCAGATGCCAAAATGGAAGACTTATTCCCGTTGAGGGGTTGTACAAACCATGAGTCCTAATGAATGGTCAGTTTTTTTAAATATAATATGAAGGCAAGTAATAGTGATCATGCCCCAAAAGCCATTTAAACGATACAAACCAAGAGCAGACCTCTTAAATATCAGAGAATGAGTCAGTTGCCTCATAGTCATGATCGGGAAATAACGGGGAAATTCGGTATCTCGAACTCCGATATTTCGAATACCATGGATATGTCAAAGTGATTTGGAAGTCCCAAGCTCAAATTCTTTACATATTTTACCTTCGATATCTCGAATCCTCGGTATCTCGAAGTTTTTTCTTAGTCCCATCAGGTTCGAGATAGCGAAGTTTGTTTGTATATCAAGAATTCAGCGTGTAAAAAATGGACTTACAGTTAGTATGAAAAACGTTAGAGGATTGATTTATTGTATGTTGTTTAACCTCCATCTCGAAAATTTTTCACTTATATGGAGACGTCATCATATACCGGCGAAGGGCTTCAAATTTTGACCTATTCTCGGCACTCAGGGCCTTTGAGCAGTGAGGGTTCTTTATCGTGCCAACGCCTACCTCGACACAAGTCCTACGTTTTTAAGGTCATATCCGAAAGACCCGTGACTTTCACTTCTGATGCCGAGCGCTTGGAGAAGGAACAGTAACTACCTATGTTAACGTCTTAGGTATGACGCGGCGCTGCGATCGAGAATCGAAACCCGATCACGAAGCGAACGCTCTACCACTAGGCTACCGTGACCGGTAACGTTAGAGGAAGGACCGGTTGCAATGAAGGAGTATACATCCCCTATCAACCGTTACACTCACAATGTTCTCCTTGTCATGATGATTTGGAAAAACACAAAAATGTAATGTGTAAATAATGATCCAACAATTTTGAAAAACGTTAATTAATATTCGACATAATGAGAGATTAAATTAGTTGACAAAGATATTGTATCGACCACAAAACTTTCGAAATAGTGACTTGAAACGAGACTGTTTTAAGACATTCTTCTTTCTTTAGCTTGTTTGTCCAGAAGTCAACATGATTATTCTCAAATTTAAATTTGTGTACATTTGATAGATTGAAGGTAACGAAGCCAAAAAGTATATGAAAAAATATTCTTCGTAAAGTATATCAAATCTGCATTAAATGTAATTATAATTCAAATCAAAAAATGTTATTCAAAAATTGTTTGTTATTCTTAACCGAAATTTTTATGTATTTCCTGTCAAATCTTAACACCAATAATTAAACCTACCCCAAAACTATTTGTAAAGTTTCATCATATCCACGATATGATATATATTTAATTGGTGATTCAAGTATATTATTAATACAAATGAAAGATAAATATACTTTTTTCTTTCATGCTGTAATCATATTTCATTATTAATTTAGAGAAAGATTTCATTTTTATTTCAGTGTAAAACCCATGCAAACCAATATGCAACTCACTTTGAAAACCTCTAGTAAGCGATTGAGCTTAGTAAAAAAAACAATTAGAGTTTCGAAAATCAGATTTGTGCAGGAATATTCTTACCTTAACGAAATTTTGTCAACCTGTAAGATCAGAAGAGAAAATAGAAATACCGTTGGAAGTTCCAAGGATCTAGATAAATTAAATGGGCCTAGTGAAATATGAGTACAAGACTAACAGATAAAAAGATATTTAAATTGACATGTGTTTTGTAATCCCTTTATTCACCAATTTTCAATTGAAAAAAAAACTTAGTCACGCCAATGACATAAAAAAAATTAAACATATACACAATGAAGTAAGAAGATTTAAAAAAAAAAACTATATAAATGTCAACGGGTTAGGTAAAATCTAAATGCCGAAACTGCAAAAATCAAGCTTAAATACGTATGTATAATATTTATAGGTACCAAAAGGTTAAAGCATTTAAGATTCACTATAAGGGGAAAGACTGTATTTTTGATGTTTTTCTAAATAATCTATCATGATAAGTTCGAAATGTAAAGTAAATATATGTTAATGATTAAGATATTCTGAAATTTATGATAAGACACGAGAAATATTCAGTAATATGATTTGTGAAAATAATAATCCATCACGTTTTCTTAGTATTTAAAAAAATCTATCTATAAATAATAAAGGGAAATTTTAGCGATGATTTTATTTTGGTATTATTAGCGAGGGTGCTGAGATCGCTAAAATTGGATATCTCAAAAAAATAATTGGGTTTTACTTATGAAAGCTTCTTAAGTGAGCATTTTAAATTCGCTAAAATTACTTCTAGCTAAAATCAAAATATCAATTTTTAAGGTGAAATCGCTAAATTTGCGTCTCGCTAAAATTTCCACAAATATAGTATAATGAACAACGTCGCACATAGTATTGGGGTTTTAAATTGCGTAACTTGTAACACTGTTAACGACTGGCGTTAATATTTTGGGTCATTTTATCGTTTTGGCTACGTGGATTTTTCTGCCAATTTGTACCAATCTTTTATAACGTCCTGTGATGATGTCACACAAAATTCATTAATAAATTTCCAATATACTGACCGATTCCGACTGTCCGGAAAAGTTGGAAGCATTCTGTAATATGCCCTGAATTTGACCAGTAATAAGTAAAGATTAAATGTTTGGTAAAGATGTTTTGCTATATAACAGGTTCTTTTCGTAAAACTAAAATTATAAATGAAATGTGCAAATCAAGAAGTAGAAGTCGTTAAATATTTCTTTAAAAAATTATAAGCAAGTAACGATAGAGCGATTTAGATGTCTAGTCGGTTTTGTAACTATGACACAAATATGCATAAAATGGTATTTAACGGAACATATATCATTAATGTGAGCTGTATTCTCTTTTTAATGGAAAAACTTTTTACAGATAAAATCTTAATTTTCAAATATGCAAATAAATAAAATTTTATATTTAAAGAAACACTAATGACTTTGGCATTTTTAAGAAAACACGAGTAGAAATTGGATGTCTAGTCTAATCTGTTAAGCCTTTATTTTTTGACGTTTTTAATATATTCGATCAGTGCTTACTATTAATGCAAGATATATTACTGTAGTCGGCGGCGACTCACACAAATTGTTCCGACGAAAATAGTTTCATCAGTAATAAGTAGATACAACATAATTGTTCATGATAAGAATAATGTTGTGTATGTCATACGTAAAAGAAACCAAAATTATAATGTAAATTTTTCCTCCAAAGATCACTTTAACCCCTAAATGCAAATAAAAAATGTTAATATTCCTACGCTCTCTCCCTCCTCCCTCCTCAGCTTTTTTTTTAAACATGTTTGATAACAGAGAATATCTAGGTCATTCTTCGGTTGATATCTTTTCACCGATGAATTGATTATACTTTATCAACAACTGTAGTAAAATCATGTTAATTGTTCGTTAATTATCATATAGTTTCCTCTTAGAGAAAAAAAATAATCATTCTGTGTGTGTAGTATATTAGATGACGGAATTTTCAATTCCTGAGCAGACTCCTGCACGTGTGTAGACAAACTACACATAGGGAGAGTACCTATAAAATGTGTAACAAAACCCGAACTGGACTGGGGATTTTTTAACTGACAATTTTGATTTTTATTAATCAGAATTTGTATTCATGTGATCTATTTAAAAAAGTTCTGTCTGCCATCGTAACTTCTCTGTTCGCGGGAGTCTATTTTGACAACTCCATCGCACGTGTGTAGACCAAGGCTAAAGGCTAAATGGTCTTCCGGACACAGGTATGTGTACTGTTTGTTAGGAGACTGGGTGACGCTACGGACTCTCGAAAATTACACCAGTTCTATAACTAGACATGCATTGCAGTTTTATTTTATAAAAGTCATTAAACACTCTTAAACATATCAAATCTAAAAGTCGAATATCTTTGGATATGGGGTAACCCATATCTATTCTTGTTACGCTTAAACGATGTATGCAGTAACGTCAGAAATGGATATTTTGACGTTACAAAATCAGCCCGAATTCTGTGCGCGACGTCGAACGCAGTATATTTCCCGTGTATAGATCTAGCTATCTTTTGATATTGAATGTATTGACACATCCTCAAAACATTTTTCGTGTGAAGATCATGATTCCTCTACAGGGGGTTTATGACTCAAAGGTTTCGAAAATTTTAAATAGAATGGTTATCTGAACAACTGCTAAAGTTTCTCAGAGATTGTCAAGGGTAAAGAAGC